CAGCCCAACCCGCCCAGCCCCCGGACTTGCTCACTCACCCCACGCATGCACACTCCTGGCCGGAGGCGATGCTGCGCTCGGGCGGGCGGCGGGCGCGCAGAACGGCGGGCACGCACTACCGCGTTCGGGTCGCGCGCCCGCCGCCACCACACCCGTGCACACGCGGGGCATCCGCGCGCACACCGCACACAAACACACGCACGGCCCCTGCACTTGCGGCCTGAGCACACGTGCGCGCACACCCACGCACGTACACAGGCACGCAGCCTGGTGCCAGGTGCCCGCCCTCGCGCAACAGGTGGGCCACCGTGGGCCCTGGAAGCTTTAGCACCCCCATTTCCTTCCTGGGGGCCTATGAGGGAGAGGGGAAAGGGGCACCCACATATACAGCGCCAGAGCACCCACTTTTTTTTGCCACAGTAGCTCCATGCGCCTCAAACCTGTGTGAATGCTTCTTTTCAACCACCCTCATATGGCCTAAAATGGAGCCCTGCGATGTCAGAGCTATTTCTCCCTTCAAATAAGCCCTTATTTGAACCTCTGAGATGGGAGACGCCTTGCACCAAGGAGGGCTCCGGCGATACCTGTCTCCCAGCACTGAATATTTCATGGCGTTGCTGATCGAAGCACGCAGCTGTCAGCTGGAGGTGTTCCCAGGCCACCCCTTACCATTTCCGGCTTCATCCAGCACCCCTCCCATTTTCTACAACTCTGTGGGCATGTGCGCTTGGAGGGAGGTGATGGCACGGAACCACCGCCTTTCTTCTCCCTTTAATCACAGCACCCTGAACGTAGGGCGCGCAGGAACCCGCGATGTATGGCACGTGGTGCTTTGCAGTTTACAGAGCACTTTTCTGCTAAGCCTGAGTGAGCCCCTGGCCAGCTCTGAGGGGAGGAGACCTAGGGAGGGAATAAAAGGCCTAGAGCTGTGAGTTGGAATCCAGGAATCCACTGGCAACTAACAATAACAACATCAATATTGGGGCCAGTCCAAGAAGGAGCTCTTAGTTGCCAATGCAGGGATACTTGGAGAGGGCTTGCTGGTGATGGAGCTCTGGTGGCACAGTGGTTAAGAGCTCAGGCAGTTAACCAAAAGGTCGGCAGTTTGAATCTACCAGCTGCTCCTTGGAAACCCTGTGGGGCAGTTCTACTCTGTCCTGTAGGGCTGCTGTGAGTAGGAATTGACTCGACAGCAGCTGCCTAGGTTTAGTTTGGTTTTGCTAGTGACAGTGGCTTTGGGTCTGGCCGTGTCCCTGGGCATGCTTGGGCTGAGCCTTAGGTGGAGGCCTAGGTGACAGGGAAGGAAGGCTGGGCTGAGGGTCTGCTGAGGCCTCTGAGGTCCCCCTCCATCAGCTGAGCTGGCTTCTGGGTGCGTGACTCCCGTGGTCATGTGATGCTCTGGGCCTCACCCCCTTCTGCTGGGAAGGAGGAGGGGGCACCCACAGCCTTTTCACCACCCAGCTCCCCCCTGGTTTGCTAATGGCCTTGGGTAGTGGGAGAAGGACTTGCTGGAATCGCCCAGCCCCGGAAGTGTGCAAGGTCAGGATAAAACTGACTTTGGAAGCTCTGGCACAAGACCTAGGAACCCTGTTTGTGTGACTGATTGATTCAGTAGGATCAGTGAGGAGGTGTTTACCTTTCCCTCACCTCCCACTGAAGTGCCTCTTCCATGACAACCAAGTTCACTTTCTGGTTTATTTAGTTTTTTAGTGGTTTATTATCTGTCTTCCCTTCTGGAGTGTAAACTCCATTGGAGAGCTTTGTACTGGTCACCACTGACCCCGTGCACAGTGTTTATGGAAGGAGCAGACATGTTTGCAGCGCTTGCTAGGCACTTTGTAAACACAACCTCCTTCAATTCTCACGCTCAAGGGCGGCCAGAATAACCGCTCAGCCTCCCACCCCCCACCTTGAGACACAAGCATATCTTTCTCCTTGCTCTCTTAGGACTTGGACAGGACAGAGGCGAAGAAACACAAGAAAGGCGCAGAAGGAAAATCAGGCTGCAAAGGCTCTGTGCATCTTAAGCAAATCCTTTTCCCTTTCTGGGCCGCAGTTTCCCCACCTAAAAAAAAATGAGAAGGTTGGATTAGCTCCAAGTTCCTGAAGAGCTGCAGAATTGGCAATGCAGATTCCTAGGCCCTGCCCAGTGCTGGGAATCAGGATGAGGGCTGTGATTCCGATGGACTGCCAGCATTGTAAATTGCTGGGCTGGCCCCTGACTTCCGCTCTGCCAAGGAGTAGGGGGAGCACTGTGGGTCAGGCCGACATCAAGGAGGGGAGGCTGGCAGGAGGGTCCCTGGAGCAATAAGGGAGAGAAGTGCTAGGTGGGAAAGGCTGGTTCTAAATGGCTTCTGTGGTCAGCTCAGAGTGGCTTCTTCAAAGGGATTGGCTTTGGCATCCAATCTGAATAAGGCCTGAGACTCTCCCGCAGGCGGGCGCTGGGCGGCCTTTGCAGCTTCTCTCTCTGCCAGCTGCAGACAACGCCCCTGGTTGCTTGGACAGAGCCTGTGTCTTCCTCGGCGGCCTCTCAGCGGGAGCGGCGGGCGGGGTGTGGAGTGCCTATCTGTGTGTGCTCTGAGGCCCAGGCGGAGGGTGGGGTTCATGCCTCTTTGATCTGCCAGCTGGGTTGGGAGCAGGTAATTCACCTGGCCTCACGCGCGTGTGCCCTTCCTACCTTCTGCCGCTGATGTGGGGGGTGGGGTAGGGAGGAGGCTGTTTGCCTTGGCTGCCATGGCTGGCTTTGCCCCAGCAGCCTCCTTGCCACGCCCTCACCCTGCCAGGAACCCCAGGCCCAGGATCTGGGGCAGTTTCTTCAGAGTGCCAGATCTCCTTACCTGTCTCCCAGGGGGAGGAAGGGGAGCTGCTCGCCTAAGGAAACTTCTAGAACGTGTTTCCAGGAAAACCAGGCTCTTGGCCTCTCACCTTCTCAGGCCAAGAGGAGCCCCTGACCCCAAGCTGGTGTCTGTGCAAGTCTCTCCCAGGGCATTGCATCCTGGAGCCGACTGCAGGCTGAAGTCCCCCACTCTCACCCACCTGCAGCCCGGGATGGGACCTACCAGCCCATATGGCCCCCAGCAGGGCCATTTCCTGTGGCCAAGCACAGGGGATAACTGCAAAGTCACACTCTTTCACCAGGGGCAGGCTGCTCTCCACCCACCTGTTGTTGTCCTCAGAAATGTCCTGTGCTGCTGGACACATGTGCCACTCGCTGCTGCCCTCAGAGGATCACATTGAAAGAATTAGTGATGATGACAATGACAACTCATTGTTGTGTGCCATTGAGTCGATTCCGGCTCATAGTGACCCTATAGGACAGAGCAAAACTGCCCCATAGGGTTTCCTAGGTTGTAATCCTTACGGGAGCACTTAACCATTGTGCCACCAGGGCTCCTTGACGACTCATTAAGTGCCCATTATTTGCTGGCTGCTCTGCTAGGCACAATCACCCCTCCCAATCACCCCGGGCCAGCTATTATTAGCCCCATTTAAAAGGAGGAAGCTGAGGCTTTGGATTGTTAAAAGACTTGCTTAAGGCCACACAATGCATGGCAGTGAAGGCAGGACCACAATCCACATCCATCCTCACCCGCAGTCCTTGCTCTTTCTCTCCTACAGGGTTTCTCCACCTCCGGCACTATTGACATTTGGGATGTAGGGGGCCGTCCTATGCATTGTAGGATATTTAGCAACATCCCTGGCCTCCACTTACTAGATGCTAGTAACACTTGAAGCAACCAGAAATGTCTCCAGACACTGCAGTGTCCCCTGGGAGCCATAGCACCCTCAGTTGGAAAGCTCTGCTCTATAACATGTTGCAGGGATAAAGAGCCAACGTGAACCACCACATGCCTGAAGGCCAGAACAGAGAAGGGGGAGGCGAAGACCCTCCAGGTTGGGCTGGGTGATGTGGGTAATTCTAGAGCCTGGGTGCAAACCCAGCTCTGCCTCTTACTAGCCCTATAGATCTGTAGACTTTTACTTAATTTTTCTAAGCCTCAATTTCCGTGTCTGGAAGGTGGGCATGAAAATAGTGTCAGGCTCTCGGGATTGGTGGTTTGTAAAGCACGTAGCTCAGTGCCTGGCTCATAGGCTGCACTTCATATGCATTAGCTGTTGTGTTATTTTCAAACCCAGGGTCTGGTAGTGAGTTCTGGGCCTCTAGGAGTCACATTTTCAGAAGTATATGAAGTAGTGACCTCCCAGCTTCAAATAAACTGGTCTCTTCAGAAGGCAATTTTCTTGTGGGGTGCAGACAGGATATCCCAGGTGGCCCTTCTGGTGGAGAGAACCCCAGGGAGAAGGGAGGAGTCCTTCATGCATTTGGCCAATGTTTACTGAGCACTTACTGTGTGCTTCTCCAACTCTTCAGTCTCTATTTTGGGCTCTTCCCCACTCAGCCTTGGAGGGTCTGGATTTGTTTCTATAAGACATCATCTGGACCTGGGTCTGGGGTGTCCACTCAGGCCCTTTGGGGGTCTGCTTATGCTGCCATGGTGGCAGCTACAGGCCACCTTTCCAGTGGGCCCAGGAGAGCGTGGCATGAGCACCAAGTGTCCATTTGGTACTCAGTCTTTGGGCCCTTACCTTTGGGGGTTACCTGAATCATCACTCCACAAACATTCACTGCTCCTTTTGTGCCTGAGCTGGAAGGGCTGGCAGGCACCCTCCTCCTCAGCTGTCCTCGCTGCCTCTCCTGCCACCTCCAGGTAAAATTAGAATCGGATCAAATGTTCTTCAACTCCCTCCATTCACAGGTGAGAGCCAGGCCCAGAGAGGGCAAGGGACCAGCCAGAGGTCACACAGCAGTCAATAACCATGCATGGAGTGGAATCCAGCTCTCTTGATAACAGTTCTGGGTTTGACAAAACTCAGGGAGAGACTTTCTTGGTCTTAGTTGAGACCAGCCACCAGCCTTCCTCTCTGTGGGTTGTGAATTGTGCACATTTGGAGGTGACCAAAGGCATGTCTTCCCTCTGGGGCTGGAGGAGTCAACTTGCTTGGAGATGGAGATGGTGGAGGAAGGTGAGGGCAGCTAAGCTGAGGACCCCTCTCCTTCCTGGTGCATGCAGCCTCTGGCTAATGCCTACTAGCTGTGCTGCAAGGACATGGAAGGAGGGACCCCCCACTCTCAGCCACACCACTGCTGGGCCCCCGACCCAACCTTTCCTCCCTTGAACCTCCATGTGCAGCCAAAGAAACTGAGACTCGGGGGTCTCAAGGGACTAGCTTTAAAAAATGGAGTCCCTGGGTGGTGCAAATGGTTAACTTGCTTGGTCGCTATCTGAAAGGTTGGCAGTTCAAGTCCACCAGAGGTGCCTCAGAAGAAAGGCTTGGCGATCTACTTCTGAAAAATCAGCTATTGAAAATCCTATGGAGAACAGTTCTACTCTGACACCCATGGGGTCACCATGAGTCAGAACTGATTTAATGGCAACTGGTTGACTGGTTAGTCAAGGGGAAACTGAAGCACAGAGTGGTTTAACCCAAGGTTTGACAGCGAGTAAGTCAAGTCAGCTGATGCCCTGCCCAGGCCTCTTTTCACCATTTGTGTTGTCCTGAGTGTGTGCACGTGCACGTGTGTGTGTTTGCACATGTGTGTGTGTTGGCAGGTGTGAGTATGGGTCTCAGCCCTCGGACACATGGTGGCATCTGACCCAGTTTCTTGGCTCCTCGGCAGCTGGCTGTTGGAAGGTGCCTCCCAGCCTCTCACCTGCTCTCCCTCTTTCTCGAGACCTCTAACGTCAGCCCCTCGCCCTCCCAGGTTGTGGGGGATATGCAGTGACCTTCCTATCAGGCCGCCGTCATTTTGCTGCGGGACCTATGGCTTCCCTGGAGGAAGCCCGGCTCTAAGTGGGGCCTGTTAAAGCCCTTACTAAGTTTCAAGTGTTTCTGGTAACAAGCCAGAGGAGCTCTAAAAATAGGGTTTGGCTGGGCATGGGGCATGGGTAAGCTTTCAGGTTTGCCAGCCGTGCTGAGGATTCCCTTCTCTCCTCGTTCGTGCAAGAGACTAAATAGATCTCGTTCATATGTGTGGCCTCTTGAGACTGTCCAACTCTGCAAGCGTTTATTAAGCACCTATTGTACCCAGGAGGCTGGGAGTACAGGCCCTGCAGTCAAAAGGACTTGGGTTGGAAGACAGCTTCTGCTGATTATCAGCTGTAGAACCTTGGGCAAATGACGTTACCTCTTTTTCAGCCTCTGTTTTCGCATCTGTAAAATGGGGATAAGATCTCCCCTGATAAATGTTGGCTGTTATTAGCTGTCAGGTGCGGAGGGAGAAGCAGAGAGAAGGCAGACTGTTGGAGCCTTCCGGGAACCTGTAGTGTGACAGGGGAGACAGACATACAAAATCAAGTCTAACTTAAAGCAAGCCGGGGTTCCTGCTTAGAGGTGGGGGAGGGGGGTGCAGCATCTGAGCTGGGTCCTAAAGACTGCCCTTGTGCTCCTTGTTGTCAGGCCCCATCTTGACCCCTGTCTTCATCCTGACTGTCCATTTGCCCCTGGCCTAGGGACCCTGTGGAACAGAAGGTTGGGAGTGTGTGGAGGTGGTTGAGGGGAGTGGACCACGGCTGGGAAGCCCTGCTCTCGGCTCACTTGGACCCCCGTGTCCTCCTGCAGGGGGACCCCATTCCCGAGGAGCTCTACGAGATGCTGAGTGACCACTCGATCCGCTCCTTCGATGACCTCCAGCGTCTGCTGCATGGAGACTCTGGAGGTAAACTGAGTCCTGTTTAGTGCTCTGGCCCTCTGTGAGCCTTCAGGGAGCTGGGAGGGGCAGGGCAGGGGGGCATCCCCTCTTCCTTGACAGCCAGAGAACTGGAGGCCTCTGGCAGCCCAGGAGGGCCTGGCTACACCTATCCAGGGCAGGGCTGAGAAGGCGGGCAGGTTGGTACCTGGGGTGTGGGGCGTGGCAGGAGAAACACCCACCTGTGGCTCTGGCTGGGCGCAGAGGGTGGAGTATGGAAGGAGGGCGGGTGGGGAGAGGGTGCCCAGGGCATCTGCCAAGTATGTATCCAGGTGTGGACCTAGCCGGCGAGGGCGGGGCTGGAGGATCCCTCTCCCTGCCCCCCTGGCTGAGGGCCCGCCTCCGAGGTCTCCCAGGGACACCTGACCGGGACCAGCAGACGGCCCTGCCCTGGCCCGCGAGCGCCCTTGGCGGTGGGCACGTGCTCGGTGGCACACACGTGGCGGGACTGGCGGGCCAGTTCAGGAATGTATTTATAAACGCTGTCTTCAGAGCAAATTCCGTTCTATTCTAACCTCTGGCCTGTTCCCTGGAGCCCTGGTCAGCACCCCCCCTGCACCCCTTCCCTCTGGGGTTTTGTCTCTTTGTCACTTTGTAATCCTTGCCCAGACGCTATCTACGGGGGACAGCATTTCCTGCCTTTGTTTTCTCTCCCCGTTGGGCCCCTGGCTCCCTCTCAAAAGCATTCCCGGGCCCTTTCAAACCTGCCTGTGCTGGGGGGTTGTGAGACTGGCGGGAGGGGGCCCTAGCTGGGCCCACCTATTGTTCACTAGGCCCCCCACCCCGCGTCTCCCACACCCCCACCCCATGCCCGGCTGGCCAGCCCTGGCCACACAATGGGGCAACTTCCAAATTTAGCCTTGCTGCCATTTCTTTCCAAGGCTCTGGTCCCCACCCTCGAGCAACCCCTCCACACCCCGGGTGGGGGTCGGGATCTGCCAACGAGGTTTTCAATAGCAGGCCTGTTTTGAGGCAACCATGTGGCTATTTTTTCCTAATCGACTTAACCTTTCCACAAAGCACATCTTTTCTCCATCTCCTCCCCACCAGCGACATTCCAGAGATGGCAGGGAGAGAGGAAGGGAGCGAGAGGGACAGACAGACGTGCTGACGTGGGAGCAGTTAGGCTAGCCGGAAATGCACCAGCCACTAGACTCCCATCAGGACAGTCTCCTCCAAACAGGATCCCCTGGGACCCTGGATGGGCCACATGCAGCGAGCTGGAGCCTTTGTCTTTGCACAGGGGATGGTGGTGGGGGGCTCATCTCCCAACGTCCCTTCGTTTATTTGCTGGCTCTGCACCCACCAGAAAGATCTGTCCACGAAGTCAACATCAAGTTCAAAGTCCTCCTCCCCAGCCTCACCTCTGGGCACCCCAGCTTAGGGATGACCTCTCTAGAGAGGGGCCAGGTCTCCAAGGCACTGACCCAGCCGCAGAACTGCCCAGGCCTGAGAAGAGAGCTGTCATTTGTGATCTTAGGATAAATGGACACCTTGGGGCAGGCATGGGGCAAAGGTTAGAGAGAGGGAGACAGAAACAGAGATTTAACGAGAGACAGGGAGATTGTGGGGAATGGGCCCAGGGCCTCCCCAGAGCAGGCCCATTCCCACCCCTCTCCTCTGCCTTCAGCTCCCACCCCCAGTGGCCAGCCCCCACCCAGCAGGGCCATTGTCCCACTCCAGAGGGGTTGTGGCCAGGGCAGGCCGGTCCCCCCTGGGGATTCTGGGAAATTCTCCATTCAGCACTTCCTATGGGAAAGCTGGGTGGAAGGGGCATAGAGCCTGGCCTTGATCTCACTGGGCTGTGCCCCGCCCTACAGGCTGAGGAGGGTTCCCTTACAGTAGCAAAGGGGAAGGCCTATTTTTAACTCCATTGACATGGGTTCTGGCCAAAAACGTGGCTGAAGAGCCCAGAGTGGGGCTGGGGATGCAGTCAGGGCCCTACCAGCCCTGAGTCCCATGGCTGCCATGGGGTTGCCTGGAAGCCCTCACTTCAGAGCCAGGACCTTGGGCTTATGGGGGGCTAGGAGGGCAGGCTGTTCTCTGGAGTGGGGTACCAGTGGGGAGCTCAAGACGTGATCTTCCTGCCTGTCAGGACCCCCACCCCATGACTATTGCCCGAAGTGGGCCTGATCATGCCTTTTGTTTTGCAGATGAAGACGGGGCTGAGTTGGACCTGAATCTGACCCGGTCCCATCCTGGAGGCGAGCCGGAGAGCTTATCCCGTGGGAGAAGGAGCCTGGGTAGGACCGAGAGTAAGAACGGTGGCCCCTCCAAGAATGGGAGCCAGGGAAGGAAGGACTGGGGTGTACAGGGTATACTGAGGTATATAGCTCCACCAGGGTTGGCTCCATGGGTCCTCTTAAAACTCCCCTTCCCCCCACGCTTAGGGCTGAGTTGAACTAAGAGAACCTTCCTTACCCTATATTGAGGAGCTGAGTCATCACACTCCACCCCCAACACACACTATCTGTTTTCTAAATATAGTGCTTTTTAGCTCATTTGTTCCTTAATCCAACCCTGGAGGTAGATACTCTTAACCCCATTTGACAGACTTGGAAACTGAGGCACAGAGAGGGTAAAGAACTAGTCCAGGGTCACATGGCTAGGAAGTGGGGGGCTAAACTCCCAACCAGCTCTTCTCACCTGAACCCAGTGCTGTCCCTGGTGGGCTGTGTGGCTCTGCTCACGGCTAAGGGCTGTGGCCTGGGACGCAGGCATAGGGCAAAGCCTGGAATCCACCTCCAGCTCCATGGCAGGGAAAGCAGGAGGAGAAAGATGCATCGTGAGGTCCCAGGGAGGCCTTCCCAGTCCAGGCAAGTGCTCACCCCAACCCCTCCTGCTCTTTGCACGGCGGCAGCCTCCTAAACACTGTAGACAGAGTGGCAGGGGGAGCCTCTGGATCAGACCAGGGTGATCTGAGCCCCAGCCTGCGCTCAGTGAATGTGAACAGCCGATTTAGTTTTCAGAGCCTCAGTTTCTCCATACAGGAAAGATGATAGCCGCCTGCTACATTGACTGAGTGCTTGCGGTGGGCCAGGCTTCGGCCAGGCTTCATTTGTATGACCCCTTCGGTTCCTATGCACACGGGTGAGGGGCAGGCACTGTTATCATCTCATTTCATAGATGAGGAACTGAGGCTTTGAAAGAAGCAACAATGTAAACATAAATCACAGTGTAAAACAAGCAGTGTGCGAGTGGTTACAAGGTAATACACAATGAAGGACCACATGGAGGGCAAACCCATTAATGTCTAAAACCATAGAATACAATGCTTGTGGGCTAGTGGAAGGAAATGAACCTTTTTTTTTCAAATTGTGGTGAAAATATACATAACAAAACATAAGCCATCTTAACAATTTCTACATGTACAATTCAGTGACATCGATTACATTCAAGTTGTGCAAATCTTGCCATCCTTTTCCAAGTCATTCCACCACCATTAACATAAACTCAATGCCCCCTAAGCAAAAACTTCCCCTTTTTCCCTCCCTCCCACCCCTGGTAACCACGAACAAGCTTTTGTTTCTATATTATTTCATATTAGTGAGATCATACAGTATTTGTCCTTTTGAGACTGACTTTTTTCGCTCAGCATGATGAAGAAATGAACTTTTAATGAACATTTGCACTCTCTGAATGATCTCACATGACGTTTTGGGTGTAGAGCTCATCATTCCCATTTTGCAGATGGGGAAACTGAGGTTTTGAGCAGCTCAGCCACCTGCCCACCTCCCAGGTGAAACCTCACAGGGCAGCTCCAAGGGCTGGCCTCCTAACCTCCACCCCAGGGACTTCCATCTTCCTGCCAAGTGGGGGCTGTAGGCAGGCCTGCCCTCCTTACAGACGTCCCCTCTCCTCCAGGCACCCTGACGGATGCCGAGCCAGCCATGATCGCCGAGTGCAAGACACGCACCGAGGTGTTCGAAATCCCCCGGCGCCTCATCGACCGCACCAACGCCAACTTCCTGGTGTGGCCGCCCTGTGTGGAGGTGCAGCGCTGCTCCGGCTGCTGCAACAATCGCATCGTGCAGTGCCGCCCCACCCAGGTGCAGCTGCGGCAAGTCCAGGTGCGCAGCCCCGCAGCACCCTAGGCTGCACCTGGCTGTGGGCAGAGGTGCCCTCCTGGGCTTGTAACTCTGACCAGGCTTCTACTGAGGGGAAGGGCGGGGACTAAAGTTGTCCCTGGAGTGCTCCTGAGCTCTGTCCAGATAAGGCCACTCTTGGGAAGCTCACCTGGGCAGATGCGCTGAGCCCTACCCTGAGTCCTTTCAGGCCACCCAGAAAGATGTTCTCCAGGTAGGGCTGGGTGTGGGACGGGAAGGATGCTGCCTCCTCCTTTACAGGATTAAACCCCAATACCCCTTGAAGAGACGTGTGGAAGCATTCTTTGAGACTCAGAATGTTCTGGACACCTGCTCGGGTTCCACTGAAGGCCTCCCCTATCCGGGCCCCTCGGTTCAGTTCTCTCCCAGTCCCCAGAGAGCAAGGCTCAGTTAGGGGCCTGTGTATCTCTAACACCTGTTCCCATCCTTGACAAGCCGTGTCTTTAATCAGGAGGGTGCAGAGAGACCCTCTAGGTGACAGACATGCCAGAGATGGGGCGACTCCCTTCCAAACAGTCAGAATGCTGCATCCTCATCTTTTCCACAGGGGTTGAGTTTACATTCCGACTAAAGGGGAATTTTAGGGTCGAGGCGATCCCAGGAGCTCCACAGTCTCCTACTGGGCAGGGCAGGGCCAGAGAGACCTCAGCTGTTTCTGATTCACGTGGAAAGGTCTGCACCCCTCGGGCCAGCCTCACCCACCCACTGATTTGGGATGGCCCGAGCTACCAGGCACAGCTCCCTAGGGCCAGTGCTAGCTGGCGAGCCTAGCCCTTGCCGAATGTTCTACCTGCCCCTCCCTGGTCAGCTCCAAGCCTTTCTTCCTGGCCACCTTCCCCACATCATCCTACTTCTGTCCTGGCCTGGGCCCCATACCTGTGATTATAGGGTCACCCCCTACCCTGCCCTGCTATCATGGTATCTCCTGCCCCCAATGCTCCCAGCTCCATGGATGGCCACCTGACAGCTGACCTCACCCTTCCCTCCTCCCGTTTGATAAAGCCCGTCCCCACTTCCTTCCAGACAGCCATCTCCCACCCTTGCCACAGCCCCTGACCTTGGCTGGCGCTCCGGGAATGAGGACACCACAGGCCCTGAGCTCAACCGGAAATGCCTTCCTCCCTCTCCTGGGGGCACCAAGGGGGGCTATGGCCAAGCAGGAGGCCAGGTTGGGAGGGATGTTTTGATGGAAAAGCTAAGAGCAGGGCAGAGGGCAAAGTCCTGCTATTGTCTGGGCCAAAGTGTTTGCCCTGCAGGCTGTTCTCTGGGCTTTCGAGGAAAGATTGATGCAGGGGACTCTGGGGCTGAAAGGGCAGGTGGGATGGCTCCCTTTCGGCCCCTGTGGCCTCTACGGAGGTGGTTTGGTGGTTCTATCCTCCAGGTGAGAAAGATCGAGATCGTGCGGAAGAAGCCGAACTTTAAGAAGGCCATGGTGACCCTGGAGGACCACCTGGCATGCAAGTGTGAGACGGTGGTGGCAGCCAGGCCCGTGACACGGAACCCAGGGAGTTCCCAGGAGCAGCGAGGTAACTGCCTTCCCACTGCATGCTTCTGAACTGCTCAGCCTGGAGCTCCCTCCTCCTGTTGCAGTTTGCGGGAGCCTCTTAGAAAATGAAAATCGGCTCAGTCCGCTCCCCTGGTTCAATTCATCTGAGGTTTTCCATGTCAGAGAACAAGCCAGATTCCTCCCCAGCCTGTGAAGCCCCACATGATAATGTATCCCCAGCTGCTAAGAAACCAGTCCCCCTCACGTATGCCGTTCCAGCCAGGCTGACCTCCTTGAGTGGCTGAACGAGCTTCTGCCTCAGGGCCTTTGCACATACCATTCCTTCTGTCTGAGCCCACTTCTCCCAGCTCTTCACAAGCCTGGCTCTTTTTCAGAAGTTGCCTCTTCCTAGAGGTCTGCCCCAACCATCCCATCCAAAGAAGCAGCCCCCATCCCAGTCTTGCTACCATGTCCTCCTATTTTGTCGAGTGAGTGCATGAAACGGTGGAGGAACCAGGGCCTGGACAAGAGGAGACACTGTGCACATTATTTTCAGAAATCTGAAAACTTGTCCTGGGGCTGAGCAATCAAACTACAGTAAAACCTACAAAAACGTGGGAATCTGCCAGAGAAGGAAAACTCAAAGACAGTATTTTGCACTAAAACAAGTGACAGAAAAGTGGTAAGACTACATTCTGTCAAAGGCAGAAAACTTTCAAGACCCGGAAAAGCAAGGCAGTCCTGTGTAGTTCCGGCTCTCACAGGTTTCACTGTAATTTCTGTGGTCTGAGGGGAGAACCAGGACTAGTGGGGAAAACCAATGGAGAGAGATTTCAGCTTCATATATGGAAAAGCTGGTGATCAGCCAGGGTTCCAAGATGCAATTCACTGCTTTGTGAGGTAGTGAGCTCCCTGTCACTGTAGGTATGCAAGTAAAGGCTGGGCAATCATGCAGCAGGGATGTGACAGATGGGACTCTAAAGACAGTTCTGCTGCTGTCCTTAGATTTCATGAATTCAGTCTCAGGGGCATAGTTTGACTTAAAGAGAATGGGAAGAAACTTTAAAAATGTTCTTTTCCAATTGCCTTCCTTCATTTTATAGAGGAGGTACCCGAGGTCCAGAGAGGCTGAGGTCTTGCCAAAGGTCACACAGGAGTCCCAGGCAGGAGTTGGCTGGAATCCAGGTGTCCTGAAGTTCTGTTCTTGACTTTTCTTTCACTTGACAGCTGTCACTGGCTCCTGCCTGCCTTGTCATTTTTTTCTTTTTTTTAATAATTTTTAAGTTTTAGAGTAGACCAGAGAGATGGCCTTGCAAATCAGCCCTTCAGTGTAATGAACAGGACTTCTGGAGCACAGAGAGGTTAAGTGATTTATTGGAGGTTGCACAGCAGCAAAGCCCAGCCTGGAACCTAGGTCTTGTAATGTCTAGTTCTGGGTTCTTTCAGCTGTATCTTGCTACCTTCTTTCTCAATGTTTGCAGTGAGGATCAAAAGAAAATTATTAGATGAGAATAAAAAAAAATCACACAGTGATAATTGTGATTTTCAGTTACTTTCTGTTTTCAAGGGACAGGACAATCTTTTTCATTCTTGTCTCCTATTAACAAGCCCCCTGAAGGCAGGGCCATTTCTGAGCGTCTTTGTCCCTTTCTCAGGGTGGAGCTCAGGCACTGGATGCCCTGGGAAGGCTAATAATTTGACAGCTTCCAGCCAATGTGTTGTAAATCATTTATAAAGTGTTAATATGGGGAATGATTTTCCTATTGAGGAGAAATGATTTTCTTCATGTTTACAATAGGGCTATCTTGCATGCGTTTGGTTCATGCAGTTTTCCAAACCAATTGCTTGGGAGGCTCATTAAACTGATTCATCTTTAGGTAACATGCAAGTTCCTTCACTGCCATCTCAGTATTTTGGCTTAGTGTGATGGGACTTGCGGCAGCCGTCAGTGAGCCTAGTGAAGGCTTGGTGGTGTGGTCCGTGTAATGTGGTCAGGGTCAGACAGCCTGGGCTTAAATCTCCACTCTGTCACTCATGGGCTGTGTGACCTTGAGCTTGTTTGGGCTTTGCCCAGCCCAGCATCCAGCTGGTGGCCTGGGCTCTGGGGTGGAAACCCTCTGGGCCCTTCAGTGGTCTTCCCAGGTGTCCTCCCCATGAGGGGGACCTGAGACCCACCCAAGTCCCTAAAGTGCTAGAAAACAGGCCCATTTTCAGGGATGAGATAATTGTGTCAAGGGAGGTCATGTCTGAGAGCCATGAGGTCAGGTACCAGCCCCAGAGGGCGCGGTGGGCTAGGCAGTGCTCTAAAGGCTTCTAGGCAGAGGCTGGGGAGAGCTGGGCAGGGCCAGCCTCACTGCCAGGGCATCCACCTGGGAGTTCAGGAGGGAGAAGAACACAAGAGCTAACCTTGACTGAGGCTCACTGGCACCAGAGCGGCTGAAAGTGTAGACTCTCCAGGCAGAACTCTGGGTTCAAATCCCAGGCTCTCTGCCTCAGGTTCCTCATCTGTAAAATGTAGATAATAGTACCTGCTGTGAGGATAAATGAGCTTAGAACAGCGCCAGGGGCATGGTAAGTGCTATCTAAGGGTTTGTGACTGTTTCCACTTATTATCTCTAGACTCCAGGAGGCCAGGCTGCTGCCATGTCTGTCTTAAAGATGTGGATACTGAGGCACAGAGAGTTTAAGTAATTTGCCCCAAAGCACACAGCCAATAAGTGGGAGAGCCAAGATTTGAACCCAGACAGTCTGATCCACAGCCCACCTTCTGGCCTGCCCCACTGTACCACCTCTCAGGGTGGTGAGAGGCAGGTAGACAACAGGCACAGCCTGTGCTGAAAGGTCCAAGCTCCATGGTGGGGAGTGTGGCTCAGGCCTGAAGTCTAGTCATCCTGCCATCATGGGACTGGAAGGTGCTGAGAGACTGGCAGGAGGAAATCCCAACTAGAGTCAAGCTGAGGAAATAAGAAACAAGTGAATCATTAAAAAAAAACAACAAACCAAACCCATTGCTGTTGAGTCGATTCTGACCCATAGCGACCCTATAGGACAGAGTAGGACTGCTCCATAGAGTTTCCAAGGAGCACTTGGTGGATTCAAACTGCTGACCTTTTGGTTAGCAGCCAAACTCTTAACCACTAAGCCACCAGGGTTTCCATGGCTTTAAACAGCCACCATTTTATCATCTCTTATGGGTCTGTGGGTTGACTGGGCTCAGTTGGGCGGTTTTATTGGTCTCTTGTGGTTGCAGATGGCGGCCGGGCTTGGAGTCATCTGGAGGCTTATCTGGGACATTGGGCCTCTTCTCCTACCCCTGAATCCCAGGGTCTCTCCTCCCCCATGAGGCTCGTCCAAAGTGCAGAGGTGGGAGCTGCCAGGCCTCCTTAAGCCTTAGGCCTAAATCTGGTACAACAACATGCCTTTTATTAGTTGTTGCTCTTGTTGTTAGGTGCCATTGAGTTGATTCCAACTCATGGTGACCCCATGTGACAGAGTGGAACTGCCCCATAGGCTTTTCTTGGCTGCAGTCTTTATGGAAGCAGAGTGCCAGGTCTTTCTCCTGCGGAGCTGCTGGGTGGGTTCAAACCGGCAACCTTTTGGTTAGCAACCGAGGCCTTAATTGTTGTGCCACCAAGGCTCCCTTTTTTATTGATTTAACAGGTCCAATTCTACCCAGATTCAAGAGGTGGGGAAATAAACTCCATCTCTCAGAGGGGTGATGACAAAGAATTTGAGGCCATATTTAATCTGTCACAACATTTTGTGCCAGGTACCATGCAAAGAACTTTGCAACCATATTGTCATTGACTTCTCCCTGGGACACAGAGGGGGTCAGTGACTGTTCCCAAGACACATACAGCTGGTAAACGGTGGAGCTGGGATTTAAGCCCAGAAAGACTGGCCCCAGAGCTCCTTCCTGCCCCTTCCCTCAACCCAAAGGATCTGGGGTGGACTGTGGCAGGCTGTAGTCGAGAGGGATGAACCCTCAGTGGTTGTCCATGTGCTGATGAGACCTTTCTTTCTCTTGAGCAGCCAGGACGCCCCAAACTCGGGTGGCCATCCGGACGGTTCGAGTCCACCGGCCCCCCAAGGGGAAGCACCGGAAATTCAAGCACACGCATGACAAGAAGGCACTGAAGGAGACCCTCGGAGCCTAGGGCCATCTGCAGGAGAGTGTGGGCAGGTGAGGGCCAGGCAGGGAAACTGAGGCCCAGAACCCTGTGTTTCCTTCTCCCTGGCCTGTGGCTTGGGCTATGGATGGGGCTGGGGGAGAGACATTGTCATGTACACAATCCAGGCTCTAAGCCTTGACCTCTCTGTCCAGTCATCAGCTGAGTTCTTCCACGGGACAGGTGGGGTGGGGGGCTTTGGAGTCCCCAGCCCAGTTGCATTCCAACATGTCCCAGTAGAATGGGAGGCCTAAACCCCAAGTCTCTCAAGCCACCTCAGCTCCCCCAGCCCTAAGTGCTGCTGGAAACCAGGATGGCTGGTCGACCCCAGCTCCCTGGCCCTGGAATGGGAAGCATAGAAGTGGGTGGACCCCCTTGCCCCGGGCTGTCTCTGACCCCTGTGTCCCTCTGCTTGGCCTACAGGGTTATTTAATATGGTATTTGCTGTATCGCCCCCATGGGGTCCTTGGAGTGATAATATTGTTCCCCTCGTCCGTCTGTCTCGATGCCTGATTCGGACGGCCAATGGTGCTTCCCCCACCCCTCTACGCATCTGTCCACCCTCCGCCAGCGGGTCTCCCCCCAGTGGCCTCCGGTGTCTTGCCCAGCAGCTCAAGGAGGACACGAATGACCTGAGCTCCGTCCCTGTCTTCCTCCCTGCTCTCGAGGATCTGGGATAAGAGTGCAAGAGAGACTGATGAGGTCACTGCTTAGGGAAAGGGGCTTCTCCCACACACCCAGCCTGACCACCCCCGAGCGCTGTGGACTGGCCGAGGAGCCCTGCACGTGGCCCAAGGACCTCTCAGCGTGGCCTGCCTGGTCCCTGAACCTCTGGCCAGCTCTCAGGGAGACATACCCAGGCAGACGGGAGTAATTCCTGTGGCTTAGGCCACCCGGGGGAGCATAGACTGGAAAAAACCCCTCCCGTGATGTCCAGGCCCAGTCACCACCTCTCCCCGGTCACTCTGCTTACACTGGCTTCTTTTCATTTTCTACATATGAAATCTTTGAAGACATGGACTCCTTAAAGCGGGTGAGGCCGGAGCACCAGGCAGCCGAGTGCCCTCTCATGCTGGTTAGAGATGAAGCTCACTCTCGGGGTGGACATAGATGGTGACCTGGGCACCCCCTGTCTCCTCCTGGCCCCTCTTCCTTCACTTCCTCCTGTGTCCTTTCATCTCTCTACCTCCATCCAGCACCTTCCTCTGGTTCTGGCCATTCAGTCTGCTCCACCAAGGGGCTCTTGGACCCCTTATTGATGCCCCAAATGAATCCAGTCACTGCTCTGTAGGGCAGAAGACCAGGGGCCAGGGCGGCCGGTGGCCTGCCCATCGTATTCCAGCCCAGCCAAGACTGCTATGGATGGTTGTGCAGGGTGTGCACTGCACAAGGGCCCCACAGGCAGAGGGTCCCATTCACAACAGAGACACGGCCGATTTGTCTATTTATTATGATGGTTTTCTGGCAGATGGAAGTAAGGTGTCTTGAGGAAGGGGATCCTTTTCCTAACGCTCACAAAGACTCCCTGTGGACTGGCTGGGTCACTGCCCCAGCTGTGGCTTAGCGTGGTCCCACAGGAGTGAGCCCGTGATGGGTGATGGGGAGGCAACACAGTTATCTGTCTGCCCTCCATTTCCCAGAGTCCTTAGCTCCAGCAGTCCCCCTTCCAGGCAGGGGTGAGAAACCCAAGAGAAGACCTCCAAGGGAGGGGCAGCCCCTTGCCCCCCAGCCTGCACACCTCCTATCTTAGACCCTTTCCAGACTCACCTCTGGTGGCTCCTCCCAGAGCACCAGCTCTTGGGCTGGGAGGGGAAGGAAAGGAAAAGGGTCTCTAGGGCCCTCTAGGGGAGGGGTCTGAGCTCCGCCTCCTTTCCCACCTTCCGCTGCACTTTCTCCCCTCCCCCTCTCCAAAATCTGCTTCCATCAGTTTGTAAAGTCGGTGATTATATTTTTGGGGGCTTTCATTTTATTTTTTAAATGTAAAATTTATTTATATTCCGTATTTAAAGTTGTAAAAAAAAATAACCACAAAACAAAACCAAACGAATCTGCCGGAGGTCTGTCTGTTGGCATCGCGCATGACAATTAACCTTTCCATGTTGGCAGGGGTTTGCTGACAGCTTGCTACGGTTCCTCGCGCTCCGGGAGGCTCCGGCGCGATCACACACACCCCTGTGCCCACACTCTCACACATGTGCACGTACACACACACATAGGCCCGCAGCTCTGGCTGCTCTGAGGGGGAGGAGCCACGCGTCTGCTCCTGATGCGTAGACTCCGTGTCCCAGCCCTGTGCCCATCTATGGAGGTGATGAGACATGGATTTCTCCAGCCTGAGGATCTCCATAGGGAAGCAGACCCCCAGCGCCGCCGCCGCCGCCGCCGCCGCCGCCGCCGCCGGCCGCCGTGGGCTGGGACTGGCTGGGACTGGCTGGGGGGGAGGGGGACCCAGTGTGGGGAAAGTGGGAGGAGGTCCCAGAGGGGCTACAGGCTTTAGAAGGAAGTACAGCTGGAAGTTAGAATGCCAGGTCTGGTCTTGGTTCAGCCCATAGCCAGCTGTCTGGCCTTGAGCAAGTAACCTCTCCTGTCTGCCAGAACCTCCTCTAAAACATGACAAGACACCCAGGAGGCTTCTGGACTCCAAGGTTCAGCTCTGGGGCTTTGTGCTTTCCTTTGCTCATGAAGACTTCGGTGCCATCCCATAGAAAAGATGTTGAATGTGCCTGGGTCCCACCTGCAGACAGACTGGGACTGATGGGGGAAGCCTAGGAGTTGGAGGATCTGATTCATCCTAAGGAGGATGATCTAAAACTAAAGCCATTTTCCCACTGGAAGTAGTGAGCTCCGTGTCACTGGAGGTGTGTAAGGGGAAGCTGGGTGAAAACTTGACTGAGGTTATGCTAAATAACCTTTGGGTTTCCCATTGATTGATATTGATTGATTCATTCGTTCATTCAATCACTCACCTTCTTGGGCCCCCTAAAAAAAAAACAATAACACCAAACCCGCTGCCATCGAGTCGATTCCCCCTCATAGAGACCCTATAGGACAGACTAGAACTTCCGCATAGGGTTTCCAAGGCTGCAGTCTTTATGGAAGCAGACTGCCACATCTTTCTCCCACAGAGTGCTGGTGGGTTTGAACCACTGACCTTTCCGTTAGCAGCAGAGTGCTTAACCACCGCGCCACCAAGGCTCTCTGGTCCCTACCATGTGTCTTTCCTTGCCAGGGGATTTCACAAGAATTTGATTTAAATTCATTCTGGAATTTCTAGCCCTGCACTTGAGGAAGTAGAGTTCATCCATGGTGGTGGTGGTAAGGGAGTGCAGATCAAAGGCACTTACTGGAAATTCCTGTCCCTGCCTGCCTCTTTGGCAGGACCCTCCCCTTTTCCCTGAATGCCTAGTGCCTAGTTCCCAGGGTGCCGGACGACTGGCTGGGAGAAGGAGGGGACATCTCCACTAGGAGATGAAAACTAGAGGGTGGTCGAGGGCCCAGTATACGTGCATCTCTGCAGCTACCAATAGCTGGGCTGTTCCACAGACAGCTGCAGGGACTTCCTGGGGAAAACAGAGGCAGAGCTGCCAACATTCCCCCCTTCCCTGGGTACCATCCTAAGCAGCCACAGTACTGAGTCTGTGGGCCTCCCAGGGGCCTGGTGGGCTGTCTCTGGGTCTTAGAATCACCAGGCCAAAATGGTGTTTTCCAAGAAACCCCTCTTCTGGGGAGAAGGCACCTCCTTCTTTATCCCTTTCTCCACCATGTAATATAGAAATGATGTCTGGCACTCAGGCAGCTATCTTGAACCACGAGGTGAAAGCCAAATACTGAGACTGATGGAGCAAGATGGATAGGGCCAGGGTCCCTGACAGTGTGGAGCTGCCATACCGGCCCTGGACCGCCTAGCTCAGGATGTTTGTTTGTTTGTTTGTTTTTTTTTTTGGTCAGTTGGTATTTTTTTTAAAATAATTTATTTTATTTTTGTTGTTGAGAATATATATATCAAAAAATACACCAATTCAAGTTTCTACATGTACAATTCAGTGACATTGTTTATATTCTTCAAGTTGTGCAACTATTCTCACCTTCCTTTTCCGAGTTGTTCCTCCCCCATTAACATAAACTCACTGCCCCCTAAGGTTTCTATCTATTCTTTCAAATTGCTGTTTTCAGTCTGATTCCATATAGATGGATCTCAAAAGAGCATAATGCTCATGGCAGACATTCTTTACTAGTTAAGCTAAACTATTTTTTGGTTTTAGGAAGATTTCAGGGGATATTTTTGGTTTAAGGTTTAAAGATTATCTTCGAGCAATAGTTTCAGGGCTTCATCCAGCATCCGTGGCTCCAGAAAATCTGAATTCCATGAGAATTTAAAATTCTGTTCTACATTTTTCCATTTTTGATCAGAATGCTTCTATAGAATCTTTGATCAAAATGGTCAGTAATGGTAGCTGGGCACCATCCAGTTCTTCTGGTCTCATGGCAAAGGAGGCAGTTCATGGAGGCAATTAGCCACACATTCCATTTCCTCCTCCTACTCCTGACTTTCCTTCTTCCTCTGTTGCTCCAGGCAAATAGAGACCAATTGTGCCTTGGATGGCCTCTTGGAGTAAATAGCTCAGGATTTTTTTATGGAAGAAAGAAATAAATATCTTTCTGTTTGAGTTACTCTTGTTTTGCATTTCTGATCACGGACAACTGAACCAAATCCTAGTAGATAGCCCTGGTCACTTTGGGGAAGAGGTGACGTGGCCCCCAGGCTGGGCTGTTTATGCTTCCACAACACTTGGGTGTTCAGCCTTGCCTTACGAACTCTTCCTTGCTATCCAATGTCTGGCTTACACTCATTTTCCTGAGGAGCCTTCTCTGACTGTCCCACCCACAGCCTTCCAGCCCTCTAACCTCAACAAGAACACATAACTCTCTGTAGCCTTCTTTGGAAGCTTAGCATTTGCAGCCTCCATAAAATAAGAAAACAATGAATATTTACAGCTTATAAAGTAAAATATCCATGGGTTGTTAATACTTACAAGACTGTTTTAAGGATGAGAGGAGACAATGAACAACAAAAATGATGGCAAAGAGGCTTAGTGAGGGTGAAGACCTGCCTGGGATCTTGCAGCTGCTGAGTTCCTGGGGCCCAACTCCATTCTCACTGCTGACGCCATGTCTGGTGCATTTTTACTATTTTATAGTGTTGGGTCAGGAACCCCAGAACTCCAGTGCCTTGTCTGTACATAAACCTGGGTTATAGTCCCAATTTAGCACAGAGTGACTGTGTGATCTAGGAAAGTCATTCTTCTCCCAGATCTCTACCGGACTCACCCCTGCTCCTTCTGCAGGCCTCGATTCAAGTGTCAACCCACCAGCAAATCCTGCTCGGTCTAGACTTTCCAAAAGAGCAGACTCCTGCCCCCTACAGCTCCCTCTTTTTACCTGCTCCTTTTATCCCCATAACACTATTCCCATCTGGCTCACTAAACTGTCTATCTTT